CTGCTGAGGGCAGGGCAGGAGGAGAGGAGCTTGGCTCCCCCTCTGCATCCCTTGCCACGGGCCCCCTACTCTTTGATTGCTTATGGCAAGAGATAAATTATTTAAACCATTTACAAAACAAACTACAAGTGCCTCTGGATACTCACTAGATTGTTTCTCTAAGATATATTCCCAGAAGTAGCATTGCTGGGGCAAAAAGTATGTGTTTTTAATGCTTTCTAAAGGTTTTATCAACTGACACTCTAACCAACCCTGTATGAGTATAACGGTTTCCCCCACCCTGCTAATTGTGGACATTACTTTTTTTTTTATTCTATTTTATTATGTTATGTTAATCACCACACATCATTAGTTTTTGATGTAATGTTCCATGATTCATTGTTTGCGTATAACACCCAGTGCTCCATTCAATACGTGCCCTCTTTAATACCCACCACCAGGCTAACCCATCCTTCCACCCCCCTCCCCTCTAGAACCCTCAGTTTGTTTTTCAGAGTCCATCATCTCTCATGATTCGCCTCCCCCTCTGATCTCCCCCCCTTCATTCTTCCCTTCCTACTATCTTTTTCTTTTTTAAAAAGAAGCACAGCTTTACTGAGGTATGACTGATATACAAAGAACTGGATGTATTTAATATGCACAGTTTGATGAGTTTGGACATATGATATACCTGTGAGACCATCATCAGCCACAGTAATAAAGACATCCAACACCTCCCAGAGTGTCCTTGTGTCCTTCATGTTTTTTGTGTGTGTGCATGGTAGGAACACCTAACATGAGATCCACTCTCAACAATTGTTTTCCAGCTTTATTGAGATATAATTGACATAAAACACCATAAGTTTATCTCTTAACTTTTGAAGTGAATAATACCACATTGCATTATCACTTTTTGGGGCATGATTTCCAAACTACTGAGTAAAAAGGGGTTTTTAATTGTTTTGTGTATCTTTGATTACCACTGATAATGAGCATCTGTCCCTGTTTACTATGTACTTGTGTTTCTTTTATAAATTTCAAGTTACATCAGGGCCCTTACTGGAAGCCTTTGCTGCCTCCTCCTTGCTCTTGGGCGGTTTATGGGATAGGGCTAGGGGCCAATTTGTTTGAAATGCTACAACTCCATTAAGTCCCTGTCACTTTCCAGTAGGGTATTATAGGCATGAACTCTGTCTCAGGTCTGCTCTTTGGCAGTTTCCAGATGCCTCTATAACCCCAACACAAGGATCTAGGTGAGATATATTACTTCTTTTCTTATTTTAATTTTAAAAAAAGATTTTATTTGTCAGAGAGAGCACACAAGCAGGGGGAGTGGCAGGCAGAGGGAGAAGCAGACTCCCTACTGAGCAAGGAGCCCGATGCAGGGCTTGATTGCAGAACTCTGGGAACATGACCTGAGTTGAAAGCAGATGCTTAATCAACTGAATCACCCAGGCGCCCCTTTATTTAAAAAAAAAAATTATTTATTTTTGAGAGAGAGACTCAAGCAAACTCCCTGCTGAGCATGGAGCCCGACCCAGGGCTCGATCTCACAACCCTGAGATTAGGACATGAATCGAAATCAAGAGTTGGATCCTTAGCCAACTGAGCCACCCAGGCGCCCTGAGACACATTACTTCTTAAAAAATCAAAAACAAAAAAACCCTGCAGATCTTTGAGCATCTACTTAGGGCACATAGCTTCAGTTGCTACTTCAAATACAAACGAATGAGTCATTCGTTTTCCTGTTGGGTAGAAGTGAACAGCCTAATAGGCAGAGAGCAATAATTACAGCCTAGTAGCAATTTCTTATAAGTAATACAAATGTCTCTGTATAAATTGCACATTTTATTTTATTTTATTTTTTAAAGATTTTATTTATTTGACAGAGAGATAGAAAGCACAAGTAGGCAGAGAGCCAGGCAGAGGGAGAGGGAGAAGCAGACTCCCCACTGAGCAGGGAGCCCGACGTGGGGCTCGGTCCCAGGACCCTGGGATAATGACCTGAGCCGAAGGCAGACGCCCAACCATCTGAGCCCCCCAGGCACCCCTGAAGATTTTAAGTATTCTCTACAACCAACGTGGGGCTCGAACCCACAACCCCAAGGTCAAGAGTCCCATGCTCTACCGACTGAGCCAGCCAGGTGTCCCCAACATCCTTTTTAAGTAAAAAACATTGTTTTCCGTTTTTGTAACTCCTCAATATCTGGATTAACAGAAGACAGTTGGATTTTTCACATCTCCTTCTGCATTCATTCAGTTGAAGTATCAGAGGTCAGACAGCCTTTGGGAAACTCCCCTGTTCACTACTTGGAGAATAAAGGTGAAAAGGGCAAATAACATCTTAGTGTTACTATGAAAATAGTTTTGATTTCGAGGATCCCCTGGAAAGGTCTTGAAAACCCCCAGGAGTTCCCAGCTACACCCACTCTTGGGAGCCCCAGAGAGCAACTGGAGTGATAAGAGTGCCGTCAGTACATTTATTCTCCTGGATCTATCCCATGCAGGGTTGCCTACACTGAGGTTGGCTTTGTCTCTTGAAAGAGAGAGTAAGGGCTTCTCTGAAGTAACTCTCTTCTTTGGATTCTAGTTACTTCCCTCATCTCTTTGGACCTTCGTGTGAAACATCTGAGTTACTGCGTCATCTTCGGTTCTTCTATATTCTGTGCACACCTTTGTAAATGACTTCTTAATGTATCCTCGCACTCTATCACGACATATAAATGAAACAAAAATTCAACACACAACACAAAACCTTATTATATGTCAGTGGTTTTCCAAGGAGCGTCAGCATTAGTATTATCTGGGACCTTGTTAGAATTAGAATTCAAATTTTTGGACCACACTCCAGAGTGACTAAATTAGAAATTCTAGAGATGGGGCCCAGAAATCTGTGTTTTAACAAGCCTTTCAGGTGATTTTAATGCATGCTAACTTGGGATCCAATCTGAAAACACTGCTCAAATAAAGTAATTAATAGTGCCCTGGAAAATTTAGAAACTTTAGATAAAATCAGCCCTTAATTAATAAAAGCTAATGGTAGCAAGCATTTACATGGTGCCAGGAAAGGTTCTAAACACTTAACACATGTTAACTCATTTAGTCTTTACAATAACTATAGTGTAATAGTAACTATTAGACCAACTTTTGATATGTGGAAAAAACTAGGCATAGAGAGAATGTAAGTACTTTGGCAAAGGGCGCATAGTAAGTGACAGAGCTAGGTTCCAATCCAGGCAGGCAATCTAGTGCCAGTTTGTGCTCCTGACTGCCACACAAGGAGGCCCCAGAGCAGTAACAAGGGTCTGGAGGGATTCAGGTTTCCTAGCAACAGAGTTGGTGGATGGAAGGTCCCTTCAGCCATCCTGCCAACCTAGGATGATGGCTTACACGGTTTCCCAGCACTGGAGGAACGGAGATGAGCCCTTTCTAGGAGAGAGATAGAAGGAGTCTTCCCTCAAGTGGACTCGATAGGCTTTTCTGAATATAGCTAACAGAGGATGTAAGGGATTTTCCAGGAAGTTTGTGAGGCACTGAGCTTGAGAGAGAGACAGCTCTGGGGTCCTATCCTCCACTTAAATGTGTTGTCCCAGGCTTGAATTACATGAAATACTTCTGCTGTATTCCCCTCACGCCTCTGACCCAGTCTTTCACCTTATGTTTTAGGTTGACTTTTCATTGTTAATTATTTTAAAATAAAAAATTAATGTTAAAAAGTTAAATTTAAAAATTTAACATTTCTGCTCTTACAGTACAATCCAAATGCTTCAGAGATTTATTTTTAACCTATAGATGAAGGATGTGATCCATTTTTCTGGAAGAATTCTGGGAAAACTTTCCAAATTACTACTTTCACATAATAAAAAATTTGTTTCTGCATTAGTCAATTTATTCTCATACATACATAGTTGTTCGCAACTGTTCAATAGTGAGTTTCTCTGCCACGGGCTAAATCTATATAAAACCTTTATATGGTTAAAGTGACCGGGTATCTATAAATCAGTATGCTTACAAATATTTTTTTTTTTTTTAAAGATTTTATTTATTTATTTGACAGAGACAGAGACAGCGAGAGCAGGAACACAAGCAGGGGGAGTGGGAGAGGGAGAAGCAGGCTTCCTGCTGAGCCGGGAGCCCGATGTGGGACTCGATCCCAGGACCCTGGGATCATGACCTGAGCCGAAGGCAGTCGCTTAACCAACTGAGCCACCCAGGCGCCCGCTTACAAATATGTTAATGGCCAAATAGCCTAGGACAGCATTCTTCAAATCAGTACACAGAAACATTTCAAGGGTATGTGGGCAAGGATGACTTCAATGGACTTGGCATCCAGAACTTTACTTTCCACGTGAACTCTTCAGTAAAACATATCACCCCTCCGACTCCTGAGATCAAGGCACTCCTTTCACATTAGCTCCTTTCTCCTTCAAGTATGAAAAACTTGTCTGAATCTTACTCTTACACCTCAGGGTATAAAATCCTCCAGGATGGTGAAAAAGTGAATGGCTATAATGGCTGAGTAACCAGATCTTGCAGAAATGGATGGAATTAGAAATAATTAAAATCATTTAATTTTATGTATCATAATTTGTTGTGATCAAGTATGAAGTAAAATGGAAAATATAAGTTCAAGGAGAAAAAGGATGATGTAAATTTTCCTATTTAAAAAAAAAGCTTGTAGGGCGCCTGGGTGGCTCAGTTGGTTAAGCATCTGCCTTTGGCTCAGGTTGTGATCCTGGAGTCCTGACACTGAGCCCCCATGTCGGGCTCCCCCCTCAGAGGGGAGTCTGTTTCTCCCTCTGTCCCTCCCCCTGCTTGTGCTCTCTCTAATAAATAAAACCTTAAAGAAAAAAAATGCTTGTAGGGTGCCAGGCTGGCTCAGTGGGTACAGCATGGGAAACTTGATCTTGGGATTGTGAGTTCAAGTTGCACATTGGGCATAAAGATTACTTAAAAAGAAAAAAAAAAGCTTGTTTGCATCTTTTATTTTTTTTGAATCTTTGTTTTAGCCCCCCGGGCGGGGGGGGTGCACTATTTCTGGAGGTATTGCAATATCAGGAGGTTGATGCAAGGAGTGGCCAGAGCAAGCTCCTAGTCCATCTCACTGCTCCAAAAATCCACTTCATACACTGTCCTTGGGTAGAGGATGTCAGATATTAAACTGATAAGAACAGAAACTATACTTGATGTTAGCCAGAAGGCCAAGAAGTGATGAATTATTTTTTTTAAAGTAAGCTCTACACCCAGGCGGGGTTTGAACTCACGACCCCAAGATCAAGTCACATGCTCTACTGACTGCCTCCGGCTCAGGTCATGATTCCAGCGTCCTGGGATCGAGCCCCACGTCAGGCTCCCTGCTCACTGGGGAGCCTGCTTCTCCTTCTCTCTGTCAAATAAATAAAATCTTAAAAAAAAAATGGATGATGAAACAATCAAAAGAGTATTTATATTCTTTTGGATACACTAAAAAAACTGACTTAACAGTTTTATTTTACAAAGTTAAATTGATAGGGGCACCTGGGTGGCTCAGTTGGTTAAGTGTCTGCCTTCAGCTCAGGTCATGATCCTGGGCTCCTGGGATACAGCCCCATGTCGGGCTCCCTGCTCAGAGGGAGTCTGCTTCTCCCTCTCTCTCTGCCTCTCTCCCTGGTCCTTCTCTCTCTCTCGCCCTCTCTCAAATAAATAAAATCTTAAAAAAAAAAGTTTCAAAGTTAAATTGATAGTATGCTAAAAATTGCATCTTTTCGACGATCTCAACTTATGAAAAACTAAAGGTGTCAAACTTAAAATGTGCAAAGGGAAACATAATTTTTAAAAATACTTTTGTGGATATGCAAAGAAGTCTGCAGATTGCTTGTTTATGATTATGTTTAATTTTTGACCACCATGGGAGTATGACTGTCTTTTTTTTTTTTTAAGATTTTTTAATTTATTTGACAGGGAGAGACACAGCGAGAGAGGGAACACAAGCAGGGGGAGTGGGAGAGGGAGAAGCAGGCTTCCCACGGAGCAGGGAGCCTGATGAGGGGCTCGATCCCAGGACCCTGGGATCACGACCTGAGCCGAAGGCAGACGCTTAACGACTGAGCCACCCAGGCGCCCCGACTGTCTTTTTTTTTTTTTAAAAAGATTTTATTTATTTGAGAGAAAGAGAGAGAGCACAAGCAGGGGGAGTGGCAGGCAGAGGGAGAAGCAGACTCCCCTCTCAGTGAGGAGCCCCATGTGGGGCTCGATCCCAGGACCCTGGGATCATGACCTGAGCTGAAGGCAGACGCTTAACCGACTGGGCCACGCAGGAGCCCCAGACCGTGAACTTTCTATCAACTGGGGGCAGGGGCATGTGGGGGACTTGGGCGTGATGTCTGAGTAACCAACCCAACAGGGACACGCATTAAACTTTGGAGCTTGCTTCCATGCTGGAAAGGTGGCGCCCATAACAACCCTGCATTTGGAGTAATGGCCTTCCCTGCTTGTCTGTCGCCCTCCTTACTCGAAGTCTCCATACTTCCTGGGCTCTCTGCACACCTGTCCAATAAGACAGCAGGAGTTGAGTAAGGTGAGCTTTAGGTGAGATAAAGAGTACTGATCTAGTTCACAGTTTTGGAGAATAGTTCCTTTTGCTATATTCTGTAACAAGTACCTGTGCTGACCTATTGTTTGCAAGTACGGGATTTTCATCTGGCTTTCTGAAATGTTGACCCAAGTTACAACTACTCTATACTGTTTTTTCCAAACTCCCTAGGCTTCTAGTTATTCCAGTATGGGACATTTTTCCTTTTTGAAACAGTTCAAAAAAATGTTGTGTTTAAGCCAAAGTAACATACACCACACATACACAACAGACTTAAAAAGCCTCACCAAAAAAACCCAAGGAAAAACGAAAGAACAACAGTCACTCTCCCCCCAACACACTGACTGGAAGATCTGTAACAATAACCATATGGTGACTAGAGGGAAATAATAATCTGTAGCCTATTTCCTTTGGAAGACTTTGGCATGATGTCTTCAGATAAAGGCGGTATGCATAAACTTGTTTATGTGGATACAGTGAACTGAACACTCTCCTTCCATCTTAACCTCTCTTCTCATTCACCTCCTACAATATAGACTGTATCTATTTGCATTTCATTTTCTGTGTTTCTGTTTGGAGCAGATGAATTTTTATACATCTGCATTTTGAATTAAATTTAAATCCTCTTTACTATAGCATGGGAAAAAAAAAAAAGACTGACCAGTGCCAATTTAGTTTCAGCCATTTCATATAGGAATCCAAAAGCATCAAATTTCCTTTACTCTGGGAACAATATATAGCATGAACAAAAGGTTATAGAGGAAAGAAATGTAATTGATTCTGAAGAGCGTAACATCTGCTAAGAATGTATTGTAAGAGAAAATGATCTCTGAGGGTCCTACTTCTGATGATGAAACGGTTTCTAGTTCCCCAGGTCAGAGAAATAACCCTCTGCTCCACACACCCCTCTTCAAGCCCAATCCACTGAGCGGAGAAAGCAGATGTTTGAAGCTAGCTTCCACAACACAAATAGAAATAAGTGTGGAAGACTTTGAGAAATGAAACCAGCCCGATAGTATTCAGCCAATGGCCTCCAAGGAAATGTGAAAAAAAACTATGTTCTGGTCCAAATTCTGTCATTAAATATAATGTGACTCTGGGCCACTCAATGTATCTCCCTGGGCCTCAAGTTCCTTGAGCTCTCACATGGGAGAGCGGCCTGGAGGGCAGAAAAGGTCTTTTTATGATGTTGTCTACAATGGTAAGATTAACAGACTATTGTTTCATCGAGAAGTCCCTTGAGTCTCAGACTTTCCATTTATTTTAATTAACTTATTTTTTCAAAGATTTATTTTTCTCAAGTAATCTCTATACCCAATGTGGGTTTTGAACCTACAACCCTGAGATCAAGAGTCACATGCTCTACTCACTGAGCCAGCCAGGTGCCCCACAGACTTTCCACTTTATATGGGAAGAGCAAAAATTTTAACACAAGTGATTTAAGAACATCAACATTTATTTAACATGATAAAAAAGAAATGAGATATGAACATTTGCATTTAAACAATAGTAAGTAGCCTTTAATACTTACATGTGCTCATTGTATAATATATACACAATGAACATAATTACATTTGTACACAAACTAAGTACTGGATTTGAAAACCTGCTTATTGCTGTACACATCTATCCCAATTGAAGTATAAGCCCAGTCCTTCAAAATACCTACATTTTAAATTGTATTTTTAATACGAAAAAGTAAGCGGTAACATTTGTGTTTAGGCTGACAAGAGTGTGGTGGTAACTGCTGACGTTGCAATCTGACTGAGAAATAATTATAGCAGAAAACGGGACATACTTCACTTAGCAATAATAAAATGGCACATTTTAAATATATATATATAAAATTTTTACAAATCAAGTGTGAAACAAAGCATTGCAGTAGCCAAAATGGGAAGAAAAAGAAAATAAAACAGGAAAACGAGCTTCATTGGAAGTAGTAACTAAATTTATGTACTGAAAAAGCAAAAGGAAATATAAATCCACCTAAACTTTAGAAACATCAAAATCTGGAAATCAGCAACTAAGGAAGATCTGGCTGTAGACTGCACATTAAAAAAGCACCTTTGCTTATGTGCTCTGAAATCATAGCAGCAAGCTGGTGTCAGAACAACAACCTTGAGATTATGGAGTGTACATATGAGCCGTTAAAGCTGTTTGGAATAAACATTTTCCAGAAGTGATAAAATGATGCTCTGTGGCCAAAAGCATCAGAACTATGAATTTCATAGATTTAAAATATACTGTACAATATCTTCTCACATTGCTGAAGGTCCATGTCTTTAGTTTTGAATGGTTTCAACAGGAGTCAGTATAGCTGAAAAATAAAGACAGGGAAAATTACTTGACACCTGCAAAGTTAATGAGTGACAATTTCCTAAAGTAATTGAGGGCAGTGTTCTGTAACAACGGAACTGACAAGCATGGCCACGAAAATCCTAAGACATAATACAATGGAAGGACCTTTTCTTGTCATTTCATAGGTTTAATTCACAAAGCCAAGAATGCAATTAAGTAACAATTCAGAATAAAAAAAAAAGTAACCAAATTTGTGGCTCAATCCAAAAGATCAACAAAATGAGCAAAGATTTGCATAACTTTGCTAGGATATAGATTAAGCTGCCTATGCAGCACTGTCATTTATAAACCTTTCCAAAGGTTTATATAAACCTGCCAAAACAACTAAGTCAGCGAGATGACATACACACAGTGAGAAGACAAAGTAACGCCGCTTTGAGCGCCACCAGCTATCCCAGGTGGCTGTGTGCCAGAAGTCTAGAAAATAGCCGGCAGTCACTGGACGCCATTCCAGTATGTCATGCCACTGGCTCTTACAGTGAAAGTAAAACGAAACAAAATCCAATAATAACAACTTAAGGAACCTGGAAATGTACTTGAGTTTTAACTGTACATACTCTTTATTGTCAGACAACATTCTTTATTATCATTGGTCTGTGTACAAAGAATGGTAACCTGTTTATTGAGCCAAAAGATAATGAAACTGGATTTTAATGTACACTTCTCCACTAAGACGGACAGAGGCCATCTATCAAGTCCTCGCACAAGACGAATCAGATAAGCATGCTGACTATTCCTATTCTGGTATTTTTCTGTCACTTCAAAACACAGTAAGTTGAAAGTTTAAATGCCTGAGTGACAGAGGCAAGACACAGGTAAGACTATAACAAACAGGTGGTTTGTAACTCCAGAAAGGATGTCAATCCTGCATAAATACCAACTGACAAACAAAGGCCTCTTCTAGGCTCTATGTAGACATAATCTTAAATAAAAGTTACAAATATGACAAGACAGACATAAATCCTTCCAGATGAACAAAAGGACACATGTTACAGTTGCTACAAGAAGGTATGAATGGAAGAAGATTCTAGAAAATAAGCACTACTGGATAAGTCAATTTAGTATTTGTACTAATTTATTTTGAGAATCTAAAAGTCAAAGAATATGTTAGCAACAATGTTTGTAATAGCTCTATGTATTTTTGCTGCTTATAATTGTTTAACAGAAACTGGTGGTAACCCTAAAGCATACAATATTCCTAGATCTGGTAGATGGTATGAGAAAAAAATGCAGAAAAAGGCATAAATGACTCCATATCTCAGTTTCCCTGAAAAGTAAAAAAGA